AATTCATACACAGCAAAAGTGTTGTTGAAAGATTGGAAACTCTCCATGGAAGGTTAGATTTTTTGCTTGACATTGCCTCGTATCGATTGTTCGTTAATGTAGTAAGACATTGATGCATTGATTCAGTTGAAAAAAGTCTTTTCATTTACTTTTGTTTTTGGTCGATGATACAGGAATCTTGAGAAGTGAAGACATTAGTACTCCTATTGTATCACTCGTGTATGATGTTAATGGAGAAGTTGCTGCTGGTGTTGCTGGTGTCGATGCAGTTGTACGTATCTTTTTTGTTATTTCGTATAATTCGATCTCAGCCTTTCTAGTTGAGATTGAAGGATTTTGTAGTTGGACTTGGTAGAAGAAGTAAGTTGTTGTTTAAAACTGTTTTCTGGAGCAGGAAAAGTTTTTGACACCGGAGTGGATCGAGCGGTTTAAATACAATATAAGCTCTGCTCCTGTTCTTATGGTAGATGCAAATCTTAGCATTCTTGCTTTGGAAGCATCTTGCAAATGTAATGCTTAGAGTTTCTCAGTTTGATTTTCTCTAATCATCGCTTTATCTTTCTTAACGATTTTCGTCTTGAAGTGGCTGCAGAGTTCAATGTTCCTGTGTGGTTTGAGCCCGTGTCAGTCACAAAGTCGCGGAGAATCGCTTCAATTGCTAAGTATGTGAGTGTCGTGTCTCCATATTCTTGAAAGCTAGATCCTTTTCTTCATCTATGTTTGTTTGCAAGCCAACGAGTTTAGGTTATGTTTTCTAATAGGTAACAGTAGTGTCCCCAAACGAAGACGAACTCATGGCAATGGCAAACACTCTCTGCGCCGGGAACTTGTTCCAACCTCTTAAATCAGAAGAAAATAAATTCTCACCCGAATATATATTCCGCGCGCTAAAGCCAGCCATTTTGGTTCTCCTTGGAAATGGCATTAAAGTAGTTATCGTAACCCTCGGCTCCAATGGAGCACTCTTATGCTCCAAGGGAAATCCGAAGAAGGCTCTGAACATAAACCGAAAGTTCCCCAAAAGTGGAGAAATCTTCAAAAGGGTACAATCCGTATGTTCACCAAACCGGTTTTCTGAATCAGGCTCGAATCTCTTCGCAATGCATTTCCCAACTCTCCCAGCCAAAGTCAAGAAGCTCACTGGTGCAGGCGATTGTCTAGTAGGCGGTACAGTCGCATCGCTGAGCGATGGTTTGGATCTAATCCAGAGTTTAGCAATTGGCATTGCCTCGGCTAAAGCTGTGGTAGAGTCAGATAACAATGTACCTCGTGAGTTCAACTTGGATCTTGTTTCTGGTAATGAACTAACTCTATCTTACATGAATGAGAGTCTGAATTCGGTTTATCTTGGCTGTATCTGGTCTGAACCGGTTTACACATTTTGGATTTGGTCTAACCGTGCAGATGATGCGGAATTGGTATACAACGGCGCAAAGACGTTGTCGGTTCATCGGTCGATGCTGTGAAGAATGATCGTGTTGGTTCTTTTGCCAAAACAGGCTTTAGCAATTGTGTCTTATGTACAACAATACAATGGAGAAGCTGATATTAAAGTTTTGTTTTGTGTTGGTTAAACCGGAAATAGGTTATTTAACCCGGTTTAATATGAAACCGGTTTGGTTTGGATTTTTTATTATTATCTCATCTTCTTCTTCAAAAAACGTAAGATAACAGAATTGCCACCAAAGCTCTCATTTTTTATCCTCACACAAAAACTCAGAAGAAAAGCTTTGAGGAATGAGAAGACGATAGAGTGTAAAAAAATCCCAAATTTCGACATGATCGTAACACTAAACCCTAAGATTCTCTATTTCTCGAAAACCCATCTTCAATCTTCTCTTCCTCGTCCTCGAAATGTCACTCTGATCACAAATTGCAAGCTTCAGAAGCCTGAAGATGGTAATAAGAGTAACAGAAGTAGCGGAAGTATCACCAAGACAATTTCGTTATCCGATTCCGCACCTCCGGTTACGGAAGAGACCCACGGTGAGGTTTCCGGTGATCGAAGTGGTGGTAATGGTGGAGGAGGAGGAGGAAAAGAGGGTTTAGGGTTTTTGAAGAGAATACCCAGAAAAGTTTTGTCCGTTTTGTCTAATTTACCTCTTGCAATCACTGAAATGTTCACCATTGCTGCTCTTATGGCTCTTGGTAAGAGTTTTAGTGTTTTTCAATTTACTCCCCTTGATTGATTGATTGTTATAACATTGAAGACTGATTTCGAATTTTGTCTTTTTTAGGGACTGTGATTGAACAAGGTGAAACACCTGATTTCTATTTCCAAAAGTATCCAGAGGATAATCCTGTGTTAGGGTTCTTCACTTGGAGATGGATTTTTGCACTTGGATTAGATCATATGTACTCTGCTCCTATCTTTCTTGGGATGCTTGTTCTCTTAGCAGCTTCACTTATGGCTTGTACTTATACTACTCAGATACCTCTGGTTAAAGTTGCAAGGAGGTCTGTTTTTTTTCCTTCCTTTGTCCAATTTTGTAACTCCTTGTCTCTGTTTAAGAGCTTCTCATTTTGCAAATTGCAGATGGAGTTTTATGAAGTCAGATGAGGCAATTAAAAAGCAGGATTTTGCAGATACTCTTCCTAGAGCATCTGTTCAAGACTTAGGTGTGATTTTGATGGGTGATGGATATGAGGTTTGGCATTAGTTTCTCCCTTTTTAAGTTCTTCGATATGAGCCTGTGAGGTTTAGTTGTGGTGATTTCTCAGTTTGTTTGTTCTGCAGGTATTTATGAAGGGTCCTTCATTGTATGCTTTTAAGGGTTTGGCTGGTCGATATGCGCCAATTGGAGTACATATAGCAATGCTTCTGATTATGGTGGGTGGAACCCTTAGTGCGACCGGGAGCTTTAGAGGCTCGGTCACAGTTCCTCAAGGGCTAAATTTTGTCATGGGAGATGTTTTAAGTCCGGTTGGGTTTCTCTCATTTCCAACGGATACTTTCAATACCGAAGTTCATGTTAACCGATTCACCATGGACTATTACGACAGTGGAGAGGTCATTTTTGTTTGCTCTGCTTTCTCTGCTCTCTTATTATGTCTCTTATGACCATTCACAATTATAAAGTACTCTTTGTTTGATTTGTTGTTAGGTCTCACAGTTTCACTCTGATCTTTCACTCCGTGACCTTAATGGGAAAGAGGTTCTGAGAAAGACAATAAGCGTAAATGATCCCTTGAGATATGGTGGGATCACTATATATCAGACAGATTGGAGTTTCTCGGCTTTGCAAGTGACAAAGGATGGTGAAGGACCATTCAACTTGGCTATGGCACCTCTTAAGATCAATGGAGACAAGAAGTTATATGGAACCTTCTTACCAGTTGGTGATGCTAATGCTCCCAATGTCAAAGGAATGTAAGAGCCCTCGTACTTTTACAGAACCACTCGATTGATTTGGTAGATTCTTTAACGTAGAGTTAAGTTCTGGTGTCTTGTATAGGCCTTAATTTTGCTCACAGTTGAGTTTTTTTCTTCAGATCGATGCTAGCTCGGGATCTACAATCCATTGTTGTGTACGATTTGGAAGGAAAATTTGCCGGAATAAGGAGACCAAACTCGAAGCTTCCCATTGAGATCGATGGTATGAAGATTGTTATTGAGGATGCAATTGGAAGCACTGGTCTTGAGTTAAAGGTACAAAACTTGTTGACACGAAAATAAGAACTTGGCTTAAATCGAATATGTGTAACATATTTCCTCTTTCGTCTTGTCTGTTAGAGTGACCCAGGAGTACCAATCGTATACGCTGGTTTTGGTGCTCTAATGCTCACAACCTGCATCAGTTACTTATCTCATTCACAGGTAAAGTTTAA